AATCAGAGAAAAATCAGAGAAAGGTAATTATAGTCAAAATGTTGGCACTGACATTCATAATAATTCTAAACACAGCTTTCCCAGGGTAAAATTCTGCACTTTCATTTTCTGGTGAAAGAGGACCAAAAGGGCCCACTTCCCATTTATGAGGTTGGTACTATCGCTGTGGCTCTTATGGTGTCCTTGTTTGAGCTATTCAGATTTGCTGCTCTGTGCATTACTCTGAAAACTCAGCAGACAGGGTGAAGGAGGTCATTCTGAGCAAGAACATATATGTACAAACAGAGGAAACTGAGTGTTAGTTCCGAACGTCATGCTGCCATGTTATCTGACGTGTGATTCAATCAGTCATCATCAGTTAATTGTCACTGCACCCAGCCCTTTTATGGCAGACTTTGAAGAACCATCCTGGTATCACAGGAGGCAGTGATTCAGAAGGCGGTAACCTCCTGTTTGCACCATGTGCCACTAAGTGTCCTCTGGAGAAAGAGGGAAGCAAAACTTCTGAAGCTTGGTAATAGTTAAAAAATGTGTGAATTTTTCTATTCTTTCTTTTCTTTTTCTTTAAGAGAAGTGCTTGCCCGTATCTTGGCCACTTTCTGCTCCAGGTAATTATTACTCCCTAGTTCCTAGACATTATTCTTCATTTTCTCTTTTAAAACACTTCTGTTACTGTGATCATCTTGTTCCTTATCTGATCAGCTGGTTGTCCAAAGCAATTTGAAAGATCTTTTTCAACACTGAATAAAATAAAGTAGGCTTTTCCTTTTACCAAATTAATCCTTATTCTTAAGAGTTTAAATCCCAAAGCCAGGGGCATTTTCTACAATCTCTCTGCAATTGTGAGCACCGTGCTTTCACAACATGAAAGCCATGTTGTGAAACAGCCATTCTGTGCTTTATCTGGAGAAGCTGTGGTGATATAAAAAGCAGTCTCTCAAAGGCAGGAGAAAACAGATGTAAAAAATGATGCCCCAAAAAGTAAATGTTGACACAATTTAGATTGCGGTTGCATCCATTGCTTTAGATTGCATTAGTCTCAGCTTAGAAAAACAAAGGCAGATTTTGGCCCGCAAAGCAGTTATCAAAGGGAAAAAAGAAAAAGAAAAAAAAAGGAAAAAAGAAACGGACAGAAAGATAAAAGAAAGGGCCACATTTTATAAACAAATGAAAGGATTTGGGCCAACAGCATGGAAGAGAGATAGACCAGTATGAGATAGTGGCAGACAAATGAGAAGAGAGTCAAAGAACATCCTTATATGATAGGAAACTGCAGTAATTCAGCATAAGCTGGAAGAGGAAGAGGAGCAGAAAAATTATTTAGAGTTTTCCTCAACGATGAAGAAAACATGGGGGAACAAAATCTGGAGTTAAGTTCCACACAACTTTGTGATTAAAGCTCAAATTAAACAGCTTTGATTAGTAAATAGCAATACAACAAGAAGGTGAAATGGAGAGAGGCTCAGATGCAGCACTGCAAGGAAGCTACGTCAGAAGTAAAGATGATAAACTGATAATTATCAGCGTAAAAATCTCGGGCTGAGTTGTTTGAATAGATGAGGAGACACAGAAATTGCACAGTTTGAAGGGGAAGAAACATTTATGCAATGTCTGAAGGAGCTATTCTGGCAGGCAAGGATCCCCACTCAACATTACTACATCTCTGAGCGTGGAGAAATTCTAAGCAAAAATAACACTGAAGGATAAAGAACGATAAAGATGTCTCACACAGCTATGTCTCAGAGATAACAGACATTTTTCTTTAGTGTTGGAGATGTTGTCTCCTTGCTGCTCTCACGATCCAAAGCACATTCTGACCTGGTAAACAATCTCTTGTTGGAACAATGGAGCCTTCAAGCTACAAACTGAACCCTTTCAGTCCATGCAGCAGAACAGACAAGAACTTTGCTTCCTCTTAGAAAGCAAAGCATCCTCCCAGATTAACCAGATGACATTTCTTTCCCTTTAGGACAAATTTCTAGAAGAGTTCACAGCTAATTGGCATGAAGCCAGGGTAACATTCTCTGGCACCACATGCCCATTAAGTCCCAGAGTTTGCTGGCGCAAGTGTGCTCTGCATTCTGTCCTAGAGATGGCTGCATTTCAGCAGTAATGAAACTGCAGTACTCACACAGCCACATTCTTTGCTCCAACACCCATGCAGCTCCAGCAAAAACAATGCAGGCAAAGTTAGAAGAACTACAAGGAGGTGACCAAAGGCCATTCTGTCCAACCTTTATTAAAGCATCACTTAAAAAACAGTCTTTCATTTCACTTGAGCAATTTATGAACTCTCCCCCACAGTAATTCCACAGGATTTTTAACAAGATGTATTTTCATATTCTTCTTCCAGCAGAGAGATTCTCCTGTGCTCCCTTGCAGCCGTTCTCCCAGCAGCCACGACATTACCAGACAGCTCTCTGTGTTGGTGATGTGCAATACTGACATCCTGTAAGCTCCAGCTAAGCGCCGGTCATTGACACAAGAGGTTTACGAAGTACAGGCAGGCAACTGGCAAACTGAGAGGCAAAGTTACAACCCAGAGGTCAAGTGGTGCAGTGTGCTGTAAGGATCGACTTGTCACTTAAGGTTAATGGGCATAAGCAGGTTCTCTACTGTTTTGTTGTTGTTTGGAGTGTAGACAACCTAAGCATTTGCCATACATCTTTGAAAAATCACAGAATGTTGTTGTGAACAAGTAGGCCAGCCAAGAAGGAAAGCTGATGATGCTTTGGGGACCTGCTGTGCCACACGGGCACCTCACACTGCTGCAGCCACCGGAGTAACACTAGTGAGTGGCTCAGGCACACCTGAAGCACAACAAGCTGCATACCAGGTTTCTATTCACTAGCCACACTGAGGTGAGCAAAGCTAGTTTAAGAGTTGTGCTGAGTATTAACTTCCAAATGATTCATAGGAAAATCCATACTTAAGAGCCTGATTTACATGCAAAATACGTGGTCGAGAGAGTTTGGAAAAGGGAATGTTTAGTCCCTCTCACTCAGAATGGATCCTAACTGCCTATTTCTTCTAGTTACAGTATTCAGTTTTCAAGTGTGTCTGCGTTAAGAAATCCATATGTATATATATGCGTATGTACACTTCTTTTAATATATTGAGTTTTAGATTCCCCTGTGAAACTCAGACACCAAGACCTGCTTGGAGGAGACTCATCCAAACTCCCAGAGGCCCCTTCCTGTTTTCTTGTTGTACAGCAAAGAACAATACTCATCACGCTGCCTGTAAGGCACAGGGCAATTAAAGGCACACTGCAAAGTATTAATCTGGCAGTGGCACTCGTCTGCTCTCTGAACACTGATTGTTATTTGGGATTAATCTAGGTCACCGACAAAAGTTGGGAGGGCAGAGGATACATCTTCCTGTTTGTTCTTTTTATTGGTGTCATGATTATTGCTGGGAACTGATAATAATATCTACTTACAGAGAAGTCTGAAGAAACCGATGCTGCTTCTGTTTGGCGAGTATATAAACTTCCCAGCTAACAGAGGCAAGAGATGTTCTTCTGGTTCATACCTAAGACAGACACCATCTATTTCAACAGCTCTGCCCCACAATGGATGCCCTGCTGAAAACCGACTGCATTTCTGCACACTCGGCTTCTCACGTCAGCTCTTGCGCATTATCCATCACTTACAGGGATTCATTATCAAAGTACTGCATGAGAGTTTAAGCTGCACAACACCAAGAGATTTGTCTGGACTCTGGAAGAGATTTTATGACGTCTGGGATTTAAAAGCAACACTCTTTTTAAAATCGTGTCACTTTCTTGGTGCCGTGAGCCTCGAAAAGCTGCTCCAACTTAGGCAGCACATCCCAGTGGCTGCTCTGGCTCCTTTGGCTCCGACCTCCAGCCTCTCCCACACACCCACCCCCACGCTGTGCATCTCCCATTTTAGCCGGGCCCTCTCCACCTCGCAACGGGGGAAAATGTCATCGCTTTTTCCCTTTTCTATCTCTGCCACAAACGGAGCGGCCGTGCTTCCTCCACACCCACTCCCCTCGCCAGCAGCCTCGCTGCAGCTTCCTGTCAGCCCCGCACACCACGCCGCTTCCTCTGGCAAAAGTTTTATCTGCCTGCACCGCGTTAACTGTTTGCTTCCCACACACAGAAATGGGTATTTCTAACATTCGCCAGTTAAACCCTTTCTGGCTAGAAAAATGTAAGCGGCGCTCAGGGAGAGTAAAAAGCGCCTTATATTATTTAATAGTGAAAGAAAACTAGAGTCGAGCAGCGTATTTGCAAGCGACGGACGTCCCACGTTGTACGTGCGGGGCTGACAAGGGCACCCAGAGGTGTAACAGCCCATGGAGCAGCAGCCTATAGCAGCGTGACACATCTCCGAAGCACCCCCCGTCCGCGGGTCTCAAAAGCCTCGGAGAGGTCAGAAACACTGCCTCAGCGTTCCTCCTTCCCCCACGGCTCCCGGCTGACAAGGGACCGCTACGCGCTGCCACGAGCGCGAAGCTCCGGAACCTCCCCCGACACGACTGAGAGGCCCACGCTCCCTCCTCAAGGCTCGTTCTGTCCCGGGCTCTCCATCCCCGGGTACCGACCTCCCCTCCTAGGGGATGCGAGCTCCCAGCCCGCCACACCCAGGCCGGCCTCCCCAGCCCCCTCCTTCCCTTCGCGCCGCGGGGAGACGCCGCGCAGCCGCCCCGCGGCGGTTTCCAGTCGGCCCAGCGCCGCCCGACCCCTCCCCACCCCGAGGCCGACACACGCCCGGCGCCCGAGGCCGGGCCGCCCCTCAGGGCATCGCGCGGGGCCCGGCGGGGGGAGGGGCCGGCGGGAAGGGGGTGGGGGAGGGCTCTGCGCCTGCGCAGTGGGGGCGCGGCGACGGGGTCAGCCCACCCCTCCGCACCGCCCCCGCCCCCGCCGCGCCAGAGCGAGGCTGGGCGTGCGGCGTCACGGCGACGGCCCCAAGCCGCGCCCCGGCACAGCGGCGAGAGGCAGCGGGCGGAGCGCAGCGGGCTCGGCCGGCGAGGCGGCGGCGGCGGCGGCGGGGAGCGGAGGCGCTGTCCGGTAGGAACGAGGGCGCTGTCCGGGCCCATGGGAGGTGGCGATCGAGGGAAAGGAAAGGGGAGGGGGGGCGCGAGGCGAGGAGCGGCGCGCTGCGGGGGAAGGGGCAGGAGCCTGGAACATGGCGGAGGAGGAGCCGCCGCCGCCGCCGCCCGGCCTGAGGCGCGGGGCAGTGCGGGGCCCGGCCCTGCCGCCGCCGCCCGCCGCAGAAGTTGGAGCGGAAGCGGAAAGTTGTAACCCCGCGGCTCGGGGCCGCCGGGGAGGAAGGGAGAGAAGAGAGAGGAGAGAGAGGAGAGAGAGGAGGGAGGGGCGGGTGCCGCCCGGCCGGGGACGGGTCGTCGCCGCCGTCGCCGTTGTCAGCGGGAAGTCCGAGCCGGGCCCCACCTAGTCCGGCCGCCCGCCGCCGCTTCCGGCCGCTGTGCCCGGGGGGGCGCCCGCCCGGCGGCGGGGGGTGCGGCTACAGCGCCCGGCCCTGCGCGGAGCGGCGCCGCCGGCGGTCAGCGGGTCCTGCCCCGCGGAACAACAGCCCGAAGGGTGGCGGGGATTCGCGGAGCCGGAGGCCGGAAGGGACGGCGGTGTTCCTCGTCACGTCTGAACTCCGGCGGCGACGCAAATGGAAGAGCTCGAGGGATGCTTCCTGCACCAAGCCAGCGGAACGCATACCCCCACCCCCGCG